TTTCTGTTATAATTCCTCAACACCCTGTAACCCCTTAGTGGGTGTAGTGTCTTGCTTGGGGTGACACTGATACACACACACACACACACACACACACACACACACTTCGGAAACTCCTGCATCTCTTCTGGCTGGTTTCCTTATTTAAGTTGGTGGATGCAGCCATAATCCTTGCCTTCAGTTCATCTTTGGTGTTACAAGGAGTTTTCTTGGTCTCGCACTGACCCCCCACCACCACCACCAAAACTAATTAATAAAGTGGGTTGCTGTCTGAAGAGTTAGGTGACTAGATGTAAGGTTTGATGTGATCGCAGAAATTGTCTGACAGCCATGACTGTATTCTCCTGCGAGTGTGGCATTGAGTCTTGTTGTCATACATAGGGTCTTCCAGCAGCCACACTCTTGACCAAGAGCAGCACAACCTCCTCAGGGCACTTAATGTAGGTCTCCGTGTTGAGTCTGAGGCGCTCACCAACAAATTTGGGAATTCTTTTCTTATCAGAACGATCAGTTTTCCTAACTGCAGTACCTTCGTAATCACCATTAGACTCATCTAACTCTTTCCGAATCCTCTGCACTGTCATCAGATTGATACCCAAACACTCTGAAATGTTCGTACTGGAGCTTCCTGCTCGAATGTCAAGCAGTACAGCATGCCGTTTTCCAATTTATGGCGCTGTGTATTGCGTCATGGTGGTCTTTTTTTATCACCTACGGTGTCCAAATTTGACCCTCCTATACTGTGCAGTGGACAAAATCAAAAACAAACAACGCGCATGCGCGAAATTAAAAATATAAATGACAACAATTTACCCATCGCACAGTGCGTGTATGTATGTGTCTAAATAAGATAAATAGAATATATATAAACACATCTCTCTCTCTCTCTCACTCACACAATATATACACGCACACAACTGTGTATACACGCTATCATCTGTTTATATTTTTTGTCTGTACTTTCCTCATTATCTGATATAGATTTGTATATGACGTTATGGGCGTCTGTAAGCGCTCTCTCTCTCTATCTATCTATCTATCTATCTATCTACCTTTCTCTCTGATAATGAGCACTTATCTATAAATCTAGCAAATGTTAAACTCTATACATGTACAGATACTTGGGAGCCTACTATAGAACAACAGTTAGTAAGCTTTTCTCGTAGTCCGCCATTACCGATGAATTGGTTCAGCCATTAAGAGCACGATGGAGTAATAGATACCTGTTCGGACTGTGAAATCGGAGGGGTGAGTTCGATTTCCAGTCGAATCCGTTATATTCGCTTGGAAAAGGTATGAGGCTATGGGAAAATAGCAGGACAGACCGGGGTTCTATAGCCTTGAATGGCAACTGGTCTACTGTAGAAAGAAATGGCAAAATACTGCGGAAAAAAAAATCTACCTCGTCAGGCATGTATCGAAAGATACATGATCGCCTAAGCGTGTATAACGCATGCCACATAAAAGTACATATTCCTTGGCCTTTGGTCAAATCTGCCAGTGTAACTACGCCCAAGATTACTGCAGGAAACATTTTCGGATTCATAAAAAGTTATAAACTACAGAAATACACGGACATGTTCCTTTTTTTTTTAATACAACACCAGAGTGAGAGAGGCTGATTGATAGAGGGTAAGCAATCTAGGGAGAGACAATAAAAAGACGGAGAGAGATGTGTGGAAAGACAGATATTGAGAGAGGAAGATAATGTAATGATTGCACAGTGAAAAGAGCAAAATCTAGAGAAGTTATACAGGGAGAGAGAGAGAGAGAGAGAGAGGAGACGTTAGATTGACGTGATAAGAATTGTCTTTAAAATGCTGCGCTGAGGATGGGTGTGGTGAGACAGAATTATGCGCGTCGTCTTAGTCAGATGGAAGATTTGATGATTTTGGGCCCCCAAGAATGATCAGCCATATCTCAATTCTTGTTCCCAAACTTATTATTATTTTGCTGCATGAATTCTTGTACTTTTGTTTTATCTTGCCAGTCTTTGAAAAGCAGATAACGACTTCTCTACGCTTTTCTTCACGTCTAATGTAAAGCACTTACATGAGGTGAATATAAACATTCACACGTTCTCTGGGCTTATCTTTGAGAAGATGTCTCTTTGTATCTATATTAGCGATACTTTGTGTGTCTGTATATGTGCGAGAGAGAGAGAGAGAGAGAAGGCTCGGGTTTAGAGAGAGATCAAGAAGTGGAAAGAATGTGCACCTGTGTATATATATATATATATATATATATATATATATATATATATATATATATATATATATATATATATATATATATATATTCTATGCATACATATATATATATATATATATATATATATATATATATATATATATATTCTATGCATGCATATATCAGTACTTCTTTTGCATGTGGATAAAAAGAGGTGCAGAAAGGTTTTCCGCAGTCAATTTCCCAGAGTTATTATTCTGATATTTGGTTGTTTAAAAACTAGGATTCCAAAGAGGATAGGGTCGAGAACATTTCAGCATCCATTCTTATACGTCTTTGTTAGACATAAATATTTGCAAGTAGATGGATTCACAAGACGGAACATATGTTAGATTGGTAAGAAACTCTTTTTTGATTATTTTTTTTTTGGTTTTCTTTAGACTAACAAGTGTACTGATAATGGATTTAATTATACGTCATAGTTTTCCAGAAAATTGTTCTGTTATAGGATATTGCAGAGATTCGTCTGATATGTCATGGATTTTGCGAAGATTCGTCGGATATTAACATATTTATGTATAAGAACACACACAGGCACATATCCCTCCTGAATCTGACGATAAATTACATCCGCGTCCGGGGTAAGACGATAAACTACATCCGCGTCCTGGGCAAGACGATAAACTACGTTTAACAGCAAGGCCTCCGATCAGGAGGTTTTGAAGATCGTGGAACCACCTCTTAATTGCTGATGTCCCCAGGTCCACCCTTACCTGGGGTAGTAGCACCTGTTAGGGTCCCAACTATGGGCAAAATAGTTAACCCCCAAACAGGGGTCAAAACACCATGAAAGTGTAAATAATAGCTTTCATTACCAGAAATACTTTGTAAAAAATATATTACCAGCAATACATTTTTGAACAACAAAAAAATATTACCAGCAAAAAAAATAATTGTCTGCATTAAATAACCCATTTAGTTTGATTAACCAAACCAAACCACCCCCCATATATATATATATATATATATATATATATATATATATATATATATATATATATATATATATATATATATATATATATATATATATATATATATTTATAGATGCTAAATAATAAAATTTTGATAAAATAGCTTTCTGCATATACGCTTTCTCTATATGCCATATTCGTTGAGGGCGTTCGAGATAATTGCTCTCTATAATCCCTGTCCCTTGTGGCCCTTGGCAGGGTTTCCCCATTTTGCCATCCCGCTCGTTCCACATCAGGTAGGTGGCCACTATCTTCTTCCATCTCTCTTGCTCTTTGTATGTCCTGTGAGGATTAAATTTTCCAAGTTCTCCTCTTTCATTAGTGAAAAATATTCAGGTATCTCCTGATTCTAGGCGGATTTTTTTTTTTCTTATTTTCTTTTTTTTAAGACTTCCTCGTTGATTACACGCTCCGTCCTTCCACAGAAATACAATTCTGTTGCCTCCAGTTTTCTCTTTGTCTATTGAGAAATTATTCAGCATCCATTGCCACACAAGAGGATTTATTAGTTTCTAAGGAAAATCTCATATGTTAGTACATTGTTTAGCTATTGGTATGCTTTTTATTTTTCTCATCCGTTACGGGTTCGAATTTCGGTGCCGAATTTTCTATCCTATGTTAAAAAATTTCTGAGATATTTAAACTACCGGATCAAAAAGCAGTATAAATGCTTTTCATCATCTTTTGTGCAATTGAATTGTTGTTTTATTGAAAAAAAACAAACAAACAAACAAACAAAAAGACGTCAAAACGTGTGAATAATATACACTAAATTTAGGTCTGTGCGCAGGCATATCTGAAATTATTCGTGAATTATTTTTTAAGAAAATTTAAAAATAAGATATTTATTAACATCAACATATTAATTACACTTCATCTGTCGTATTTTGCATAAGTCGTTAAGATTTTGATTTGTCTAGATCGAAATGGTAAATTCATGGTAGTAATATAGACAAAAGACGTGCGCTTGTCATTTCGCGGAAATATAAAGTAAATTAACAAACCAAACTGACAAGGTGACTTGACATGATCTTTAAAATCTTGACCTTGGCGTCAGAGCATTACATGCTTATCATTGTCACATTGTTCATAAAGAGTGAATATCTTAAATGTTTAAATTTCACTCAGCTGCTGAATTCAAAAGCCGAATTCAGTTGTTGAATTCAAAAGCTGAATTGCTGATATCCGTTACACAATGAAGTTTTCTAAGACTATTCAAGCGTCTATTCAAATTTGAAATTATCCAAATTCTGTGGAACACACCTTTTCATTGACAGGCTCTGTGGCACTGAAAGAAGGCTGTGTCAGACCTAAAATGAAAACAAGCCGAGATGACAGCGAGAAGAAAATAATTATTCTAAAGCACCGTAGCAAAACTTGCGCTACACAATCTTACAAAATTAAAAAAAAAACATTTGTTGTCCATAAATAACGTCGCAGACATACTCAAAATTCATCATTGTCATAATGATTATTTTCTTGACCCTATCCTCTGGAATTATAAGTCATATTTGAACTGACTAATGCTGTTCACGACGCTGTCCCTGAAGGTCAGGTGAAAGATTCAACCCCCAAGTTTCTGTTTACCAAAGTGAAGCGTTCAGGACGTAGAATTAGGGCCTGCGGGCATTTTCTGCATGATGGTACAATCTGCTAAATCCATTAATATGAAGGAGTAACAAAATGTACTAAAAAATGAGTAGAAATAAATAACAAGATGCTATTGTCCAAGAATAGGATGAGCCAGCGCACACAGCAAAAACAATCATATGTGCGATGTTCTTGTCCGTGATATTTTGGCTTGGTTAGTCGCTAAATCTTAACTCCATTAGGAACATGTGTGCGCATGTTAAAGTCACGACGCTTAGGAGAAAACCTGCGAACGCTGATCAGTTTAGAATGAGAAATAGTTGAAATTCCTGAAGTACATAATAAGGAAGGAGGACTTGGAGAACAGGATATATTGAAGAAAAAATAGGCAGTGTAAATCGATGTCAGAGCAGCGCCACTGAAGGATGATAAGGGGACAAACGTTGTCAGAGGAACAGGAAGTTGTGGAGATATGATCGCCCAGTTCCTGACACGAACCAAAAGTTAAAGAGTCTATATTTTCGAAGCTAATTCCCAGCGTACTGGCCTTGTTCACCCACGGATTACATGAAGAAAGACAAATGTGCCTGAGGAGGCGTTTAAAACAGGGATTATCTAACTATCCTTTGCAGGTGACCTTAGAAAAATAAGAATAGCCATATATATATATATATATATATATATATATATATATATATATATATATATATATATAACTGCTGCCGTGTTATAGTAGGGCCGTAAACAAAATTGAAAATAGTATAGAGCACTTTTTATTTAACCGTTTTTTGACTTTTTTGATTATTTTAATTATATATATATATATATATATATATATATATATATATATATATATATTGTGTGTGTGTGTGTGTGAAAAGTGTATATAAATATAAATAAATATATATATATATAATTATTTATATATTATATGTGCGGTACTTATAAGAAAGCGCTAAATATCAGAGAAAGAGCTAACATATTTGTTTGCATAGATGTGAGTTTGTTTCACGCTTTAGCGATCGTCAGTTGTCTGACGATCGCTAAAGCGAAAACCAAAACAAACTCATCTATCATCCAAATATAATATATATATATATATATATATATATATATATATATATACATTATATGTCTCCGTCAAAGCTTTTTTATCTGCAATATAATTCTCCTCTGATTCTTTCAAATGGTCAAACTTTCATATCTACCCATTTCTTTACTTTGATCCACCCACTTTAATCAGCAGCGGTTCTCTCTGTTTTCTTCCATATATATTTTTTTTTCTTTATTTATCTCCACCATCTTTCTTTATCGACTCTTCTTTTTCTATTCATTTTTCTTCTTCTATCGATCTCATACGTTTACTTTCTATCTTGTTATTCTTTCTTAGAGTTTATCTCTTTTACATGATCGATGTTTCCCTCTTTGTAACTGGCTTGCCTTTCAACCTCCATTTCTTTGTCATGACCTATGTTATTCAATTCTGCATTTTTTTCTTAACTCCTTTAATTGACCAGTCATTCATCTATATATAAACAATCCTGTCTTTTTTTTTCGCTTTTCATTGTTCCTTTTTTTAATTTTTTTCCATTACTTCTAATTCTGTTTCCCTTCTTTTCGCCGTGTGATCTCTTCGTATATTTTTTTTTCAGCTACATTGTATTCTTTGTTTCTATCACAGCTAGATACTTTGTTTGCCTCTTTTCATCTTTTGCTTGCCGCCTTTCGATTCTCCTTTGCTCGTCTTCGTTCTCTTCTCCTTTGCTCGTCTTTTTTTCTTTTCTCCTTTGTTCGTCTTCGTTTTCTTCTCTTTTGCTCGTCTTCGTTTTCTTCTCCATTGATTGTCTTCGTTTTCTTCTCCTTTGCTCGTCTTTTTTCCTTTTCTCCTTTGTTCGTCTTTTTTCCTTTTCTCCTTTGTTCGTCTTTTTTCCTTTTCTCCTTTGCTCGTCATTTTTCTTTTCTCCTTTGCTCGTCTTTTTTTCTTTTCTCCTTTGCTCGTCTTCTTTCTTTTCTCTTTTGCCCGCCGCCTTTCATTTCGTCTTTCGTTACTTTTTTCCTTTCTTATTTCCCTTGTTTTGTTCTTTTCCCTTGTTTTTTCCTTTTCCTTGTTTTTTTTTTCCTGTTCATTGTTTTTTTCCTTTTCCTTGTTCTTTGTTCTTTGCCTTGTCATTTCTTTCCTCCTTTGTCCTTTGCCATGATCTTATTCCCTTTTATCCACTCTCTATTCAATCTTAAGCGTCTTTCTTTCCTTTTTCTTTTTTTTTTTTGTATTCGGTTTTTATTTAAATAACGTTTACCCCCCCTCTCTCTCTCAATTACTAGAATTTATTATTTTTTTAATTTCCCATTCTCCTTTACGTCATTTCTTCAAACCTTCTCCTTTCGCACCATGCTCCTTTCTTTTTTCTTTCGTCCGTTTTTCTCTTTTATTCTTTCCTCCTCCTTGCCACTTTCAGAGGAAGTGAGTTGAAGTTATTTACTAGATAAGGGAATCGATAATTCGGTCATCTCCGTAATTAGTTTTAAATTGTCCCAATCAACGTTAATGAAACATCTTCGTCTAAGGTACATTAAAACAAATCCGTGGACAACATCTTTTCGGTTGCTCTGAGTTCAGGTTGGGAAAGGGCAAGACAAGCATTAGTCGACGGGAGGGTGGTTTTGCTGCCTTGATGAGCTACGCTATTATTTTATTAAATTAGGGGACTCTTATTCATTGATTTCATAATTGCCAAAATCTTCATTTTATGGTAGCTTATTAATATCTGATAAGAAAATCCACCTGCTAAAAGAACAATTCCACGTACATCTAAAATAAGTTGGTGACATTCCACTCTGGATTCTTAATGTCTGGCTCTATAATATCGATTCCTAAGTGTTATCATGCAAGTACAACAATTTAAATATCTTAGAAGTGTTAGAACAGAGGACGAAAAGTGTGATACCGAAATCTGTAGGCATATTGGGATATCGAATGCTGCCTTCCAAAAGATAAATAAATTATTAAGGAACAGGAAAATGTCGTTAGAAACAAAGAAAAGAGTATTGAACTGTCACTTAATATCATTCCTCCTATATGGCAGTGACTACTGTAAAATCTAATCAAAGATAAAGAAAACTTGAAGTAGCTGAAATATGGTTCTACAGAAGCATGCTGAGAATTCCTTTGACTGAACATGTGAGCAACGACGAAGTTTCAAATAAAATGGAACCTCAAAGGACACTTACACTTAACATCAGAACATGTCAGTTGTAATTGTTGTAGAAAGAAGGCTTGGAAATCTGATACAGATTGAAAGCAATAGGAACAAAAAATAAACAAAAAACAACGCATAACTTACCTAACAAGTTGGTGTTAATGGATGGCAGAAGTTCTAAGAGATAACAAAGATGCAAATTTACTAAGAGCTACAAAGGACAGGAAATTGTGGAGAGCCATGAACGGATATGGCATATGGAAGAAGTGTTATCATAGATGAGGGTGCATCGCTAATACCGTAGCTAGACTTGTGAATTATGAGCCGAAAGTTTCACTGTATAATGTTGGATCTGTTTGAGCTATGAAATAGACAATCTGGTTTTCTAGTGACTTAGAACGCTCGGCTTATCTCTGGCACAAGGTCGAGATTAAGTAACATCCAGTTAGAATCTAACTCACGGCTCGGTTTTAACAGTACTTCTCATTAATGTACAGTGGCCTAAGAAAAGTTTTTTAGCCAGGAGAAAAAAACTACATCCAGTTTCAAAATCTAATTACATATTCCCTACTCAATACAAATAAACAATATTCGGAACTAGTATAGAGTAAGTTCTCCAATTGGTTGTTTCAGTACGTGTATTCTATTTTTCATGGATTTGATGAAGTTATCAACAATCGTCTGATCCATATTTTGCCATTCTGTTAGCAATGTTTCTTTACGGGTTGCCACTGACGTGATTTTCTTTACGCGCTCTCGACGTTTTAGGTGAAGGTGCTCCGAAACGTACTCTATTGAATTCCTATCAGGACTTTAGGCTACCCATAGCAGCGACTTGATTCCTTGCGATTCGTTCCAGGCCTTTGCTACATTACTCGCATGACATGGCGCTCCATCTTCTTGACAAAGGTAGATATTCTTGTCAATCTAATTGGTTTCAAATAGTGGGAGTAGTCCTTTCGACAATAATTGACAGTATTTTGGACCATTAAACGACTCATCAACAAAAATCAGCTCTGATTTCCATCCAAACCAGACAGCGCCTCATACCATTACTCCAATCCCTCCATGTTTCACGTTTGCCTGCAGACATTCAGTGTTCCAAGTCTCATTCTGATTTCTCCAAACATAAACCTGTCTTGAATTCGAATACTTGCAGAATTTACTTTCATCTGTCCAAATTACAGACTGCCAAAATTCATAATCTTTGCTCTTGAATTCTCTCGCTCCGTCTATACGCCTCTTCCTGTTAATCTCTGAAATCAAGGGCTTCTTTCTTGCAACTCTTCTTTGATAGCCTAGATCTTTTAGAGTCTTACTCATCACATATGGCGATGTTTCCATGCTGTTGGCGACATCTTTGACGTTCTGACAACGGTTTCTGATGACTTCCCTCTTCAGCGCCATTTTCGTTCACTCAGACACGATGCTTGGTCTTCCTGAACGTTGTTCCACGCGACAATGGCTTTCTTCAGTAAATTTCTATCTGTCATGTATAATCTCATTCTCTACAATCTTCCTCTCTTACGTCCATAAAACAACTTATCGAGTAACCCTCTACCTTGAGTGGCTCTTGGGTATTGTATTGGACAGACAATAGAGTAAAAAATAACGGGCGAATAAATTTTGAAATTCGTTGCAGCCGCACTATCCCACTGTGAGGTGTTTGGCTCTCAATTTCAACCCGCCAAATAGATTTGGCTTATACTTTTTTTATCGGCCAAGAAAAATAACTTGACACATGTCGTAGCTAAGATCCCAAGAGTCTATCCTTGAGGTATTTTGTATTTTTTAATTAACTCTTTTATTTATTACATTGATTTTTTACATCCACAGCTAAATAAATAATCCATATATTGGAAAACATTCTGTAAACTTTCCCTTCTAAATCTTATTAGAATAGAGTTGCAACAGAAAAAAAATAAAGCTGTTACCATCTCCATGATAGAGTTTCTTATCATTCTGCTTGAATTAACAATCAAATGTTTTTAAATCTTGTCTGCATGAAACGGCTTCCAAAACTACATTACCTTTTTATTTTATAAGGCATATATATTTGACCTGACCAAGATCCTTTATTAGTTTTTAACAATTTTTTTAAAAATATATTCTCAAGCATCTCATTGGTATGTTGAATATGCAACTATCACTTTATCCCATAAATTAACTTAGATTTTGTTTCGTCAAAGTACCATTAGAACTCGTACTGATGAACATAGATTGCGTGGTAATTCAACTAGTATGCACCAAATTGACCTAAACAATACTCATCCAAAAAGCTTAAGATTTTCTTAAGTTCTCATCATTAAAGTGAAATAGATGAATGCTTACCACTGTAGTGTATATGACAACAGCCTCCCAACGCTAGTGTTGATTCTGTGGTTTTCATAGTAAGTTGTCTTTTTTACGGAGTGGAGTTGCCAGCCGCGCGTTCGACCGATACTGAATTCAAGATTTTTTTTCTTTCTCTTAGACTGGTTGCCAAACCAGGATGCATGGCTCAGTCAGCCCTGCTATTTTTCCCATAGCCGGTAACAAAAGAAATATACAACCATTTTCAATCATGGGAAAGTAAATGCAATTATTTCGGTCGGAATTTGAACTTGGCATGTCGATCCACATTCAATGCAGATAATTTCTACGCTAGGCGCACATCCATAAACTTAAATGATCCAAGCTAAATAAATTTTGAATTGATTTAACAACTGACAGAACGATTTTATCCATTGCAAAAGCTCCTTAGTACACCAATTTGCGCGGCACGTCATCATAAACGTTGCAATGCCGAATTAAAAAAAAAAAAACGACAAAATGTCAGTTTTTTGTCTTTTTAATTATCTGATTCTGATAATGAAGGTGAACAAAATGTTTCGAAAATTACGCCCATAAATTCTAGACCTTCGTTCTTTCGTACGCAAACAAGAAAAACTCGAAATTAAAAAAAAATCCTTGTTGCAGGTCTTGTCTGCGTAAATATAACCAAATTATTTTTAGTGGATACACCCCGTTTTTTTAAACAATGTGTATTTTCTGCAGGTCTGTGCAGGCTCTGAGATATAATACACGCTGTTTGAAAAACGGGATGTCTACTCAAACACGGTTATCTACTAACAATAACGTTTGAAGTAATGTCGGAGGAAAATAAATCTATTAATTCTTAAGCTAGATATATTTATATTTTTTGTGTATGTATTTAGGCAGCAAGAGTTTACCCAAACAAGTTTTTTAGACTTTGTCGGTTGAATTTATTTCATTTTTATTGTAATTTTCCAATTCTCGAATACTGTATTAGTATCTCCATTCATTCGTACATTCTAAAAATATTTTCTGGCTTTAAATAACCCGAGAAGGTTGATAGATCATAAAAAAAAACAATTGAATCAATGTAAGGAACTTCTAATTTCAACGTTACTATTTACGAAATACCTAATTTGTAGTTGTGTAATATATTGCTTCCCGGAAGGATTTATGCTCGAATGTAAATCACTGTATGTACATATGTATTTATATTTACGTACATTGAGAAGCGTTCCCATAACTGTTTTTTTTTATATTCAAGTGCAAAATATGTATATTAAAACGAAGTGTCTTATACTTACATGGATTGTGAAATCCACGAATACTCTCACACATATACAATGATAAGAAAAATTTTCGTATAAATAAAGATGTGTACGTAGATATTTTTATGGTTTCTGAAAGATAGATATTTTTACACACACATATTT